ATCATCTCTAAATACAAAAAATTGTTCGATTGGCTGGTTGCATGGAATTTAAAAAAATAGAAGGGAAAAATATGTGGAAAGAAGAAACCAAATCTATTTGAAACTTCTCCATTCTCATGCAATATAGATAACCAAAATGAAAATATAAGAGAAGAAAATGTTTCTTATATAGACAAAAACATCAATTAACTAATCATATAAGTAACATAAGGTGACGAGTTTGGGAGTTTCAAATGAATATGGTTCAAGATAGAGACATATCTTGAATCATATTCATTTGAATGACCTTATTTATAAGAGATACATAGATATATATAATTTCATATATATTCTTGTAAACTTTCATAATTACGTCTATATAACTTTATGGATCCTTGAGGCCCCTTTGAGGTTTAGTGTTCCAAATCTGAGAATTGGTTAGGTTTTGGCTCATGCATGAGATTTTGACCTTATTTCCACCATTGTTATGACTTAGCTTGGGGAATGGCATGCATTAGATATGCATGACTATAAAGCAGACTATAAAGCAACGATTTTTTTTTACTCTTTGGTGTAGGAAGCCTTCTAGAGGAGATGAGTATGTGGCTTAATGGATTAAGGCTTAATCCATTAAGATGTCCAGGATCAGTTCCCACGACGTAACGATTTGTCCGTCACGTCGTGAAGTTTGAGGTTCTCACGACTGCTTTTGTCTAGATTTTCCCACAAAGTGGCCGAGAGTCCTCCACATCATGGAGATGTTTGACTGTTGACTTTTTGACCAGTTTGACTTTGGGTCAAACTTGAAGGAATTGGGTTATTGATTAAGGTTCTACCTTTGTTTAGTGCTAGCCAGCTCACGGAACGATCAGTGCAGGGAGTAAGTGTGTTGTTGTATTTCCATGGGTCTTCGATTCATATGAGTTTCCTCACTATATTATGTATTACAATGTATATCCTTGTGTGTTAGGATATATGAGTAGTGGTATGATGGTTAGAATACCAGTTGGTTGGTGATCATCTATTGGAGTGCCCTAGGGGTTGTATGTAGTTACGTAGGATAGCCTGAGAACTCTTGATCTATGCTTTCTTGCATGTTCCTCGTTTGGTTGTGGATCTAAAGTGACATCACCTGTTCGAATGTCTATCTCACCTCTGGTTACATATAGCTATGCATTCTTTGGAGATCTGCTGGTAGTGGCGTAGTGTACAGTATGAGGCCTGTTATGCGGTAGTGAGTTGTTAGATAGGTAAACTAGGGTAGATAGTTTTCTGTGTTTATGTGTTTACTTGATTGCTTGTTTGTTATATATTGCGACATATTGGGTGGTGGGTGGAGGCGGTTCTGCTTTGTGTTGTAGGCCAACATACCCGAGAAGGCCAACGGTGTTGTAACACCCCATATTTACTACTTCCGTAGATTGTAATATTAAACAATTATTATGAGATACGAAACAGAAATATTTTACTTTTGAGCCAAAATAACCATCATAAACATGTAGAAAACTTCAACATGATTTTCGTAGATATATAGAACGCTTAAATCCGACTTCGTATGAAGCAATTATGTTTCTTCGAAGTTTCGTGATTAAACCGACAGGGCTCTTCGTATCGTAAAAAACGATTTATAGATAGGTTGCTTATTAGCCTAAGCAATCTAAACGAAAGATGTAGAAATCCTGAAACCGAGAGCTTGCATATAAAGAACATCAAAATTTGACTTTGTGAGAGGAAGTTATAATATTTCCAAGTTTCAGCGCGACAGTGTGTGACACAGAAACCAAAATTAAGATCGGTCGATTGTTAGGAAAAACAATCTAAACGAGAATTGAAGATCTCGTCGACAAGATTCCGTCAATATAAAGAGATTCGAGAACGAAATCTGTATGAAGAAGTTATGAATTTTACAATGTCGTTAGCAGTATAATCTTCATAGACTGCTAAATATAAGATCGGACGAGAATTAGCCAACAAAGTCTAAATGAAAGTTGTAGTACTCATCGATAGCTACACGTGGATATAAATACACTACTACAAAATGAGTCTAATGCGACCTTTTAGATGCAATCTTTTCACAACTGTTGCATTTGATTATAAAGAAGGTCTCGCCGAACAAAAAAGTTGAACTAGAAGATTTAATGCACCTTTGTTTAAAAAAGTTGTCAATTTTATTAAAAATTGCAACTTTGTTTTTACAAAGTTGCAAATTTTATTGAAATCTGCAACTTTTTTTTAAAGTTACAAATTTTATTGAGAATTGTAACTTTTTAAAAAAAGTTGCAAATCTTATTAAAAATTGCAACTTTTACTACAAAAGTTACATTATTAATTTTAATTCCCTCAAACTATAATTTTTTTTCATTCCCTCCAAATAAGCTAGAAAAAATTATTTCCCTCTTTATCTTATTAACTTAAAAAAAATTGTTAAATAAAATTCTAATTGTACGCATTTTGTAACGACTCAGATTTGCTTCCGTCAGTGATGTTAGTTTCTGTTACTTGAATAATTATTTTTATGTAAATGATTTTCGTTTTAAGGTTATAAATCAAAATAAATTACATAAAAGTGATGTTAAATAATATCTAAAAGAATTAATCAACATACAAAAGGGTATATCATTTAATCTAATCAAATGGTTTTATGAGAAAAGAAGGAAAATGAAATACATTAAACGTAAAAATAATGAAGTGCAGGGGTCGATTAGTCAATTTTAAGAGTAATGCGGGAAATGTTTTTAAAAATTGGGATGTAATGTGTCGATATGGAAAATATGGGGGGCTATATTGGAAATATTGCTTATAGAGCTCAAGGGACATGAGAAACTCCAGTCGATGTTGATCTCTTTCTCTTTCTCGTCAATTACGTAAACCTCCTCCAGCCCTAAAACAATGACGATTCATTCTTTGAGGGTCGCTGCTGATGCGCACGTGAGAGAATCGAGTGCGTCATGGTGAAGGGCGTTGGTTGTGTCGATTTTTCAGGCGAGGGTGGCGATTTCGACGAGTTTTTGGTGGTCTAGGGTTCCGTCAAAGCCTCCAAGGGAAACGGTTCTGGTGGTGTATTGCTACCATTTGATAATAGTGGTAAGCTTTTTCTATCTTGTGCAATGTTTTTCTTTTATCTTAGTTCAATTTCCGTCACCATCACCACCGACAACCATGGCTGCCGGATTCCGCCATCACACCACCACCTTGTTGGGTGGTTGTGTTTGTCCCTATTCTAGCACCATGTATATTTTGTATAATGGGTTAATGGGGTTCGAATGCAAGGGTATACATATACTATGAATTTATGTAATTTTGAGTCACTTAGTTTTTGTCTAGATTCATGTAATTGTGATTCACTTAGTTTTTGTCTAGTTTAATCCATTCTTGAACCTCTTAATTAGTCACTTAATTAATGACTCAGCATCCCTATTAAAACACTTAGGTCTTGGTTAAATGTCATTCCATATGTCTTAATGTGTAGCCTATTGAGCTCTTAAATTGTAGAAGATATGAGTGTTTGATTGATGAGTGAGTAAAAGCATAGTATTTACAATCTTGTTGTGTCATCTTTTTCGTCTTTTATTAAGTACTTAAAATATGTCTTAATACCTCCATTCAAGACTAACTGTGCAAGATGGAATTGTTGATCTGTCTTCCAGGAACTCCGATATCAGTCTGTTTTGGAGTTGCAGACTCTGTTTTATGATCAAAACACTAAACACGGGTCGGACTAGAAGCTCTAATATATATATATATATATATATATATATATATATATATATATATATATATATATATATATATATATATATGTATGTATATATAAGTAATTAAGTATTTGAATTATGTTATTGAAACTTGGCTTGTTTTTTATAAATGATAGGTATGTGTGGTTATTAGGTGAGGCCTTGACAACTTCAAGTAAGTACAAGATTTGAAGAAGAAGAGAATTGCATCAAGGAAAAAGGTGAGTCGATAATTTTTTTAGCTTTAGCGTATAACCAGAAACTACACCCCATAAGTGGATTGTTGATGCAAATTAGGATTATACTAGATTTGCTAATGTTTTTGATAATTGTTGATAAATATGTTGTTTGCATCTTGTGTATGGTTATACCCTGTTATGGTGTTATGAATTTTATGTATAAGTTGTAATTGCATGATATGATGTTTAAAGAATTGGTAGTCACATGCTATAATAGGTTGGTAGTATGATGAATCTCATTACATACTTTATTGCTCGTTAAGGTTGTATAAATAATATGCCTATATTAATGTTTAATTGCTTTTGCGAGGTATAATGGTGGTATGGGTAGAACCTTATAAGTCTAATACTCCGCGTTCTTAATACTTTGCGTGCACCCTGGTGTACGAGAACTGGAGTGGTGTTGGCTTTTTGTGTGGCCGAATCAAACATCACACGGGAATCGAGAGGTATATCGGTAGAACTAGCACCATTTGTATCGATCCTGAACGACACCATGAAGTACTTGTACTTGAGTCTTGTTGATGAGGATGATGATAATGTCTTCATTTTGCTCATGATTTGTGTTTTTATTTTCCCACACATTGATACTTGTTAATGTCTATGTTACAATGAATACAGAAAAATGAAGATCCAAACAAGGAATTCTCCACTCTAAGTCAAATATTTGAACGTACACGTAAAAAGACAGATGAGCGTGTGTATGTTGATACATACAATGACACATAAAATTGTAAATTTGTATTTCAATTTCACATTAGGTTTTTCTTTTTGATTCTAGACGTTAAATTGTAGTTTTTGGACATTAAAATGTAGTTTTTTAAATGTTAAAATGCAGTTTTTTTAGACGTTAAAATCCAATTTTTAGATATTAAAATGCAATTTTTTTATATTAAAAACAACCTTTTAATAGTAAATTTTTGGTCATCAAGTGGTTGTTTTCTACACAATAATTTTTTTTCTACATTGAAATACAATATTTTTTACAATATAAACAATTTTTTAACAACATATTTTTCAGCAATATTATCCTATTCATTTTTGAATAATGTTGAAGGAACAAATGAAGAACTACATACCTCAAGAAGATGGAAGTGATACTGTATATCCTTATATGATTGTGATGAATAAAGAGATTGATGGATATCGTCGACTTTATGGTAGAGGCGTTACTAATAAATTTATAAAAAAAAAAGTAGGCGGTGGTGATACATCATACATGATTCCAGCGGGACTTATGGAGTCATTCAAAACAAATGAAGTTGAAAGAAATCAGTTGGTTGAAATGCAAAAAGAGATTCAAGAGGACCATGGAAAAAAAATACAGGCTAAATTAGAAGCTATGCGATTAGATATTAACAACCAACGAGAAAACTTTGATGCCATGATGCAAAAGTTTGTTAAACAACCTCTAGAATGGCGATAGTTGCTAATATGATTTTATCATCTATGTTTAGTACACATCTATAACGCTTTTAATACTTTTTGTGATTATAGTTGACAACTTTATGTTGACTTTGATTTATGGTTGTTATTTTGAATTTAGGTATGTCAAAGGAGACCATAAAATTATATAGGATACTTATGTTATTATTGTTATGATGTGATTTTAGAAGTAATGAATATTCGTAGCAATGTAGTATAACATATGTAGCATCTGCATAACAAGAAAAAAAATGTCACATTAGTGTTAGAAAAGCCACAAAAATAAAGCTGCATTTGACTGTAAACAAGGTTGCATTTTTTACAATTATAGACATAACAAAGGTTGCATATACAATAGAGAAATGTTGCAGTTCTTTACTAGAAACATAATAAAGGTTGTAATTGTTTATAATAAAAGTAGCATTTTCATAACTAAAACTGTTAAAAAGGTTGCAATGAAGTGTACAGAAAGTTGCATATGAGCATAAAAATTTTTCTTTTGCATAACAAATGTTGCATTAAAAAAAGGTTGCATCTCAATAAGATTTGCAACTATTTCATAAAAGGTTGCATTTTCCAGGAAAAAAATTGCTAAAAGTCTAATGCAACTCTACCTAATACAACCTTTGTTAAAAGGTTGCTTTAGGCATTATGCAACTTTTTCAAGGCCTAATGCAACCTTTTAGCGGGGTTGCATTAGATTCATGTTGTTGTAGTGAGAAAGTCGAAAATGGAGCTCATCTTAGAGAGATATGAATTTTTAAATATCTACGATTTTACCTAGCACAATTGACTAAGAACATGACACGTGGCAGAAGGTGACCCACCCAACCCACCTACCACCGTGTGCCACACGCCTACCTGCTATACATAGGGATGTTGATTTCATTTGTTTCTCACTCAGAAATTCTCATACCTCTCTCTCTAGCTTTGATTTTTCTTAGTATTCTCGGGTTTCTGAAGAATTTTGATTTAACAAAACTGTGGGCATCTAGGCTCGGCTAGTAGAAGCTCTCAGATCGAAGTACCGCCAGCTCAAATCTTGGTTTTCACTAGAAACTTGTCTTTATATTCATAATCGTTGTTATATTCATATGCTTTAAGTGTAACTTGTGTTTATATTCATAGTCGTTGTTATATATATATATATATATATATATATATATATATATATATATGATTTATCAGTAATTCCAGTTATAATAGTGATTGATCTACTTATGGGAGAGGTGTCTAGAATGGTCACGTTGACTTGGTTTTTGGATTTCAAAAAAGCTATATGCTGAAATGGTCCTGCCTCCCAGCTATCATGCATGGCTGATCCTTATTTGATAAAACTATTAAGAATTCGTTGGGATTAGTCATAGATCTAGTCCTCTTTACCAGATTCCTGTAGAAACTAATAAACTATAGTAATATAGGTTAATCCCCGTTGGCGTTTTTCTCGTCAGTTGAATTGTTCGGTTAATTGTTAATCCTCTAAGAAATTGTCCAGGTGATTTCTCCTCAGTCGTCACTATATTGTATACTTCAATATGTATCATTTGTATGTTAGGATATAGTTACCCAGTAGTTTGAAGTCATGTCACTAGACTAGCTTAGTTAGTTGCCTATCATGTTGATTTGTTTTCCTGTTAGATGAGTATTTATATATATATATATATATATATATATATATATATATATATATATATATATATATATGTATATATATATATATATATATATATATATATATATATAAGTTGAAGGCGGACCAGCTTTATGTTGCAGGCCAATACACTCGGGGAGCCAGCGTTACGTTGAAGGCCAATGTGCGGACCAACTTTATGTTGAAGGCAAAAAGGGGCGGACCAGCTTTATGTTGAAGGCCAATATTTGTATGCATTTTATATGTATTGTGGCATATGGTATCTTGAGGGAATTCACTAAGCCTCGACTTACAATTGTTGAATAACTGCTTTTCAGGTTGTTCTTCGGATCGAGAAAAGGCTCACATATGATTGTACTTGCATCGAAGGCAATAATAATATTTTAAGACTTCCGTTAGAACTCTCTTCTATAAATAAATGTAATATGACGGTTTGTAAGACTTATGTTATAGTGAAATAAAAATGAAAAATTTTCCTTGAAATTCAGGACATTACAAGTTGGTATCAGAGCCCTGGTTTGAGAGAATTGGATGAACACTCGTGTGATTCCAAACTCAAACTAAGGATCTGAGTATCAAATAAACCTTTTTATAAAAAGAAATTATGCAAAAAGGGAAGAAAATGTGATGCGTATAGTCAGGCAGAGCTCAACAAAAAGGAAAGTGAGTCCAAAAATACCCATATTGTTAAAATTGCTGATATTTGATCTTTTAGAAATGCATGCTAGTATGTAGGTTAGGGATCTTTTCGGGAATTGTATATTAGAATTGTCTAATACTTAAGATGCCTTATAGCCTATAAAATTGCTTGTTATTTGTTGCTTAGAACCTATATTGATGCTGATTAGTTATTTGACATATATGTTATGTTGCATGCTCCGAGAATTTGAAGACTGTTTGAACATGTGTTTAAATCAATCGATTATAGAAAGCAGTAAAGAACACCGAGATCTAAATAAGATCTGCTTAGCTCAGATTATGTTTGGAAGAGTACAAAGGTTTTCGAGTATAAGAAATATTCTGAGAGTGTTCGTTACTCTAATCCTAAGTACTTACCATATTTATTGGGTACATCACAGACCAAAAAATACAAGGACTTGCCGTTAAAAGCGAAACTTCTATAATGCCTTGTAAATAGATACGATAACAAAAGTCCTTAAACTTTCACTATTTACAAACGCGAAACATAAAGACACAACTTTCGACTACTCAAAACTACTTTCAACTCTACATTCTCCCCATTTGTGAGAATAGTCAAAACCTTCAAGTAAGTGTCTTCATAGTCTATAACCACTCCTTCCTTATCTCCACGTACCAAAGAATGATCTTTCGAATCTCCGCCTTATCTTCGTTGTAATTCTTCTTGCAATTATTGATATGGAGCAAAATGTTCGAAACATGAGAGTTTGTGTATCTCTCAATGTCATTCACTTGGAAAAAGGAATTTCGTCAACTTTCCCTTCTTGTTCTTCCCTTGGAAAACCACTCCAAACAGTTTGTGAATAATTTCACCATCTTCAAATTTATCAATATTCAACTTCCCCTTTAACAATGATTGTGGCACCTTTGAAGTTTTATTGATTGCCATGGCAAGATCTATGTCAATAATTGCCAAATAATTGTATTAGTAATCAAGAAAGGCCTTGATGTGAGCACATCCAAGAAAAAATGCATTCATATTCTCCTCAACAACTTGTGAAGCATCGACATTGCATAAAATCTTTGACACAGTGATGAGATCACTCAGATTCATCAATGGAAAGTATGTAATAGTGAATTCGAATGCCACATTATTTGCCCTCACAACAGAATAACAAAAATTTTGTAACAAACCTTCGAACAAAACATCAGGCACAATTGACATAACTCTAACAATATTCACCAACGACCAAACCTCTTCTTTGCTTTTTCCTAAGACAGCATGAAAGTGAATCTTCAATCTCTTGTATTCATCTTTATCTTTGAAATTCTCAGCTAGTTTGAACTGAGTAAAAGTGATCATCATATGATTGATTACGAAATCAAGCTGATTGAAGTTACAATCTTCAATGTCGTAGCTTTTCTTGGGCTTCTTCATAAACTCGTCTGCCTTATTGAGTACAACAATATCGATCGTTTCATAACACCAATGCTTATTAGGATCACCCTTGTTCAAGCCTGGCGGATCATTCACTATTTGATTAAGAATGCTCTTTATTTTCCTTTGTCTTTCAATTTCTATCTCTTGCAATCTCTTCTTATCCTCTGCAGATTGTTCCACTTGAATGCTTTTCCCTTTATCTTTGGGATTAACATTTGAAGTTGTCTTGACATTTAAAGAACTTGAACCTCCAGCTCTTTCATTTATCGAAATTCCTTTCTTTTGAACCTCCAGCTCTTTCATTGAATATGAGACATTGTCTTCATTGGAATGGATGTTGGGATTTGCGTCTATAAAACCTTTCCCACGAAAACTCCTTTATCTTCGACTGATCCCTTTAAAGAACCAACTCCCCTTTCTCCCCCATGCGAGACGTGCATATGACGTGGAGCATTTGTTGGTAGTCGAAGAACTAAATTGAGTATGGGTTTCAACTCAATTTTAAAACTTGATTGAATAGTCGAAATCATGGCAGAAATGAAGTCTAATGAGACTGGAGATTGGGACGAAAGAGCAACTTTCGATAACGTCTCTTGAAAATCAGAAGTAGACTTTTCAACATTCTCAAAAAAATTTGAATCAACTTCAGACTTGACCTTGAGATTATTAGAGTAATCTTTGTTAAAGGTTGTAAGGTCTTCTACGAATTGTGTTGTAGCATTCGCCAGTACATCAACTTTCGAATTCAACGACACACAAAAATTTTCAATATTTTAAACTTCCTTGAAAAGAAAATCATTCAACTCCTTAATCTTCAACCCAACAAATTTTCGTGAACTAGACACCATCTTCTCAAAAAGTTCATGACGTTCTTTTGAAGCATCACGTAATTTCGAGATTTCAAAATTAAAAGTACGTGAGTTATTTGTCAAGTTCTCATCAATCCTTTTGTTAATATCTTCAATAAGATTTCGCATACGAGACTCTTGAGACTTTAAAAGATACTCAACCTCAACGCCACTAATAGAGGTTTTCCCAGTAGTATCACTCAAGAATTGAAGAATGGAATTCATCTTGGAATTAAGAATTTTTGAATTGTTTACCAGACATGATTGCTTCATCTGGCACATTATCTTCTTCGGGGTTAAATTGCATCTCAACAAACGAAACCATGACAGCGTCATCATTTGCTTCTTTATTGGTAACCATCTTCTCAGGCTCAGTGGATTGAGATGAGAATAAGGTAGTGATTGGTTCTTGCATCACAACA